CAGAATAAATCCTCTGGATCTTGTCTTTTTTGGTGCAGAGCTTGACTGTTGAATCTTAAAGTGTTAGTAACAACAGTAAGAAGGTACATATCTTTGAGACTTGGTGAATGTGTACCCTCAGATCTAGTTTCCACACCAGCTCCATGGATATTATTATTAAAAAAAAATTTTTTTTTAATTTTATTAAAGAGAGGGTCTCGCTATGTTGCCAGGCTGGAGTGCAGTGGCTATTCACAGGCGCGATCCCACTGCTGATCAGCACAGGAGTATTGACTTGGTCCATTTCCGACCTGGGCCGATTCACCCCTCCTTAGGCAGCGTGGTGGTCCCCCACTCCCGGGAGGTCACCATATTGATGCCGAACTTAGTGTGAATACCGATCGGCATAGCGCACTACAGCCCAGAACTCCTGGGCTCAAGCGATCCTCCAGCCTCGGCCTTCCGAGTAGCTGGGACTACAAGCACGCGCCACTGCGCCCGGCTCCGTGGATATTATTTAGGGGATTTCTGCCAGGGATGAAGGTGTAAAAAGTCATATTAGAGGACTCCTTGTGCAACATTAAACTAGACCCTTCACCTCAGGCTTCAATTACTTTAATAGCTTTTCAAATATTATACTATATGTCACATATATATTGTATATAGTATATATATTATAGGTAATACAATAGCAAATTAGAGAATAATATACATTTATGTGTTTACCCTAAGGATTAATAAGGAGATATTGATATTTGCTTCAGTTACAATCATGGGTTGCTTAACAGAAATTTATTCTAAGAAATGCATCATTAGGTGATTTCATCTGTGACCATCACAGAGTGTATTTATACAAACAAAAACGGTAGCGCCTACGACACACCCAGGCTATATGCTGTAGCCCATTGCTCCTAGGCTACAACCCTGCACAGCCTGTTACTGTGCTGAATACTGCAGGCAATCTAATGGCGGTATCTGTGTAGCTACACATAGAAAAGGTCCAGTAAAAAGACAGTACTATAATCTGACAGGACCATGTCATAGGTGTAGTCCTTTGACAAAGTGTTACTCTGTGGTACATGATTGTATTTTTAAGAAAGAAAAGACTCTACGGATACAACAAAAGGCCTTTGAACTCGCTCTCAGTTCTATTGCTTCCCTCCCTCTCTGTTTGACAATTTCAGATTGAACCACTATTCTGAAATTGATATGTGTACTTCCCATCCTATGTTTAAAGCCTGCAATACATATAAGGAGATAATGTTCATATTATATTCTGTTATGTTCCAAGGGACGTTGTTCTTTCCTTTCGTTTAGATTGTTTTCTTGACCCTTCCTATGGATTTGGAAATTTTATGTTTTCTTTCTACTCTTTTAGTACGTATTTTTGGGCTAGTAAACATGTCACATCATTTAAGGACCTCAGAATCCTAAATATGATCTTCCCTACTCCCATTCTTCATGTCATCTATCATTATTTTTTCATCATTGCCCATCACCTGTAAATATTTTTGCCTTATCGTTGAGTCTTAGTAGTGGGAGGAGCATCTCTCTCCATCAGCTTAGTTCATTGGGTTGTTGGAATTCCACAGATAACGTTCTAATTGGTCTTCTCTCCAACCCACTGAACACCACTATCAGATTAATTTTTGCGAAGTACAGTTTTTTCATTATTCCTCTTTACAGCCTGTGAACATTATACTGCTTCTTAGCTCCAGTGCTCACCTATTATGTTTGGAACTATGTAATATGTCCCATCCCATCCTTTCTAACGTGTCTCTGTTTCCAGCATGAATCCCCTAGTCTAGATCGTGATCCTTCCTCACTGGTCCACATACCCTCTGTGTTGATTTATTCACTAGTGCTATTTATTATGCCCATAGGCAATTCTTTCTCTTCTTTTTCTCTATCCTAATCCTATATTTCCTCCTAAATCCATTTAACGTCCAGTTTGAGAGAGTCTTATCCTAGTTACTCCCTATCTATCCATCTTTATCTCTTTTCTCATCTCTTAAGACTAAAAGTCTATGATCCAATTTTACATTGATCATATCTTCTCTTAAACACTGTATTTTTTTTTTCTTTTGAGATGGAGTCTTACTTTGTCACCCAGGCTGGAGTGCAGTCGTGCGACCTCAGCTCACCGCAACCTCTGCCACCCAGGTTCAAGTGTTCAAGTGATTCTCCTGCCTCAGCCTCCCTAGTAGCTGGGATCACAGGCACCCACCACCACACCCAGCTAATTTTTGTATTTTTAGTAGAGAGGGGGGTTTCACCATGTTGGCCAGGCTGGTCTTGAACTGCTGACCTCAAGTGGTCTGCCCACCTCAGCCTCCCAAAGTGCTAGGATTACAGGCGTGAGCCACCACACCTGGGTCACTCTGTATTTTCTTTAAAGGATCAGTCCCTCTTGATTAGAAAAGACAATTGGTTGTTTATTGGCTCTTCCATTTAACTGACAAATGCAATAAGTATTCATTTATTTGAGTTCAATTTTAAAACACCTTAGCAATTAAATACAAAATATTTGTACTCTTTTGTAGAGAGTTTACTGGGCTAGCTCTGTCAATGATTTCCAATTAAATCAGGGCTATCTCCCTTCCTTGTTAATTTACATCACTGTTATAGTCATTCAGATATCAGGTGGGATGTATGCACAAGTCTCTGTGCTATGAATTGTGGGAAAGGCAGAGACACTGGTCCCAAAAGCCCACTAACCACCAGATATCACACACAAGAGGTGGTAGAATTTGGACTCAGACCGTCTCAGTTTGAATCTCAGTTCAACCACTTCCTGGCTAGTTCTTATTCTCCTGACCTTAGCAAGTTCTTACATTTATATACTTCAGTCCATAGTCGGTGTTCTCTCAAATCTGCTTATGCAGAATCATACACCTTGTTGCCTTAGTTTGATGTATAAATAAGGACAAATGGCCAACGTCTTGGTGCAGCATTCACTGGGAAACACTAATGGAGACAGGAAAATAAATACAGTAGTCTCACCCCCGCCACCATCTGAGCATTTACTTGCCACAACCACAGTCCAAAAATATCATATACCATAAGATATTTTGAGACAGAGAGACTATGTTCACATAACTTTTATCATAGTATGTTGTTATAATTCTTCTGTTATTGTTGTTAATCTTTTCATTGTGCCTAATCTATTATATAAATTAAATTTTATCATAAGTATATATGTATAGGAAAAAATAGCATATGTAGGTTTTGGTATTATTTATTATTTCAGGCACCCACTGTGGGTCTTGGAATGTATCCCCTTTAGGTAAGGGGGCACTAGGGTAGGTGTGTGAGTCTCCAGGTAAATCAAAGACAGCACATAGCTATCTGGTCTTCCTGGAGGTCAGACTTCAAGAGAGCGACTCCCTCGTGTTGCTTTTAAGCTACATTATAAGGGAAGCTCAGGTCTTTTCTTGGTATGACCACTACCAGGGTGGAATACACTAGCAATGCGATGGGTAGGATTTTGCCTCCAGCCCTGTCCTTCCAGCTCAGCACTGTCAGTTGAGGTTAGCACCAGGGAGCTGGTGTGCAAAGCAGTGACAGGACCTACCACCTGAACCTTCATGCTTGGCAAAGCTCCAACACCTGCCTGGCAAGAAAAAGACTCAGGCTGCCTGGATTCTAATTTCTGTTCAACCACATACTGGCAAGACTTGTGGGCAAGCCTTTCTTTGGGCTACCAGCCAGAGGTTAAGGCAATTTCTTCTGACTGGTTTCCAGGGAATCGTGGGGTAAGTCAGCTCCTTTTTCTGGAAGGCGAGCCTATAGGAGATCATGAGACCAATTAACTCCTAGTTCTCACTTTCCTCATCTCTAACAGGGATAATAATAGCACCCAACCCCAGGGGTTGGTGTGAGTTTAAATGGTTTAAACATATAGTATGCATAAAAGAGTGGGTGGTACATGCTAAGTACACAAGTGCCTTTGAAGAGATACTATCCTATGTGATTTCAGAGTGAATCACTAACTGGAATTACCAGAAGTGTTTATCTACATCGGTCCATAGTTGGTGTCCTCTCAAATCTGCTTATGCAGAATCACACACCTTGTTGCCAGTCTCCCTCTCTGGATTCTATACTCTGCCTTATCCATCTGCTTGTTTTGATCCCTGAACCCCGAGGCCCATCCACATTTACTGATCTTCACTTCCGTTGGCTTATCTGCATGGCTAAGCCTCACTCAGCTGTTCCTTACTTACAGACATCCCAGATCTCCTGGGGACCTTAGCTTCACCCAAGGCTCTGCTACTGCGATTATTCTTTGCCTTAGTGAACACCAGTGAACACTGGAATCTTTTATTAACCCTAGACCGAACTTTACTGTGGATAAACCTCATATATATAAACATACATATATGTACGTGTGTGTGTTTATATCTACATATTATAGATACAGATAGATAGATAGACATCTGCATCACCAAGGCTGGTGTGCAGTGGAACAATCATGGGTCACTGCAGCCTCAACCTTCTAGGCCTAACCGATACATCCACTTCTGCCTCCCAAGTAGCTGGGAATACAGGTATGTACTACCACACCTGGCTAATTTTTGTTTTTCTTTGTGCTTTTTGGTAGAGATAGAGTTTCTCCCTGTTGCCCAGGGTGGTCTTGAACTCATAGGCTTAAGCAATCCTCCTTCCTCAGCCTTTCAAAATTTTGGGATTATAGGCATGAGCCACCAAACCCAGTCAAATCAGCCATTTAATCAAACTGTGTTCACCCTCTCTCCCTCTAAAGCCTTGCCCTTGATCTTCCCTTCGTTTATAGGATGGTTATCTTTGACCCTTAAGCCAAACTCGTACCACCTGACATAACTTTTGCTTTTATGCTTTCTAGTCTCTCCATTTTTCACCTCTTTTAGCATTCTTTTGTAAATCATAAACCCAAATCATAACATTTTATGAAACATTGTAAGGTATACAGTAGTTGTTAAAAGATGAGTAAGACAGAATTCTTGCTATCTAAGAATTTATAGTTTATAGGAAACACAAAATGAAACAATGTTCATAATACTCCTTTCTGATCCTTTCAGTATCCATGGGATCTCTAGTGATGTCCCTCCTCTTCCACTGCTGATATTAGTACAGCCAGTCTTCCATCTTCATGGGTTCCCCATTCATAAAATCAACCAACCAGGGATCAAAAGTATTTTTTAATAGCAAAAATAAAAATAAAATAATACATATTTTAAAACAGTATATTGTAACAATTACTTACATAGCATTTACATTAAAAGTAATCTAGAGATGATTTAAAGCATGAGAGAAGATGTGTGTAGGATATATGTAAATACTGTGCCATTTTATATAAGAGATTGGAGCATCCATGAATTTGGTATCCACAGGGAGTCCTGGAATGATTCCCCATGCATACCAGGGAACAAGTCTAATTTGTGTCTCTCTTTTTTTTCTTGACCTAGAGAGTTATCTATTTTAATGATCTTTTTAAAGAACTAGCTCAGGGCCAACGGGGTTCCCACACTTGTGCTGGTCCCCTGGACTAGTGCTGTAAATTCCACTCTTCTGTCTCTGTCCTTATTTCCTTTCCTCAATCCGTCATCACCGCAGGGATTAAGGGCACTCACATATGGGGTTGGGGCTAGTACCCAACATGTTCCTTTTGGCATGACACAATTAGAGCCTGGATGCATGAAGTTGGTGGCAATAAAGAAGAAAAAAGCTTGTTTCTATATTTTTTTGTGTGTATCTATCTACCTACTTCTATCTCTATCTTGCTGATCCAGTTCAGAATGAATGAGACATTATGACATTTTATTCCTTAATAGTTCAATGTACCTCTAAAAAAAAATGTCCAGGCATGGTGGCCCACACCTGTAATCCCAGCACTTTGGGAGGCCGAGGCACGTGGATCATCTGAGGTATGGAGTTCGAGACCAGTCTGACCAACATAGAGAAACCCCGTCTCTACTAAAATACAAAAAATTAGCTGGGTGTGGTGATAGGTGCCTGTAATCCCAGCTACTCAGAAGGCTGAGGCAGGAGAATGCTTGAACCCAGGAGGCAGAGGGTGCAGTGAGCTGAGATTGTGCCACTACACTCCAGCCTGGGTGACAAGAGTGAGACTCCATCTCAAAAAAAAATTATCTGATCTCACAACTATTACATCTAATGATTAACAGTAATTCTCTAATCTACTCTATACCAGTCATGCTTTATTCTCCCTTTGCTTCCCACTTCCAGATGCATTCTCCACTTCTGTCTTGCTCTGAGCTCTAAAAGGCTGATTTCTACAGACTGCCATGAGTGGCCAGGACCCTAACTGGGGTCAGCCAACAGGAGGCACCTACATATATCAGAGGCCAGTGGGGAGCAAGAGACCAGAGGGTGGGAGAGAGGCTGGGATAGTCTTTCTCTGCTCCTCCCTGCCAGGTATTGGCTGCATCTGCCACTGTATCCCTTGTGAAGCAGTGCCCTGTTCAGCAGCTCCAGTTGTGACTAGACGCTCATAACTGCCATGCCTCCTCCTTCAGGTAGAAGAGTGGTTAGTGAATGGCTTCCTGGCTAAGCCCTGGGTGCCTTAGCACCCCCTGTTGATTCCATGAACTCTACCTACACCTCTCAATAGTCCCTTCTCTAAATGATTCATGATTAAGTTCTTTTGAGTTTGCCATCAGTTTCTTGCGAGGACCCTGCCTGATATTTGAATATTCCATATTCAAAGTGGTTTTTTTGTTTGTTTGTTTGTTTTGTTTTTGAGACGGAGTCTCTCTTTGTTGCCCAGGCTGGAATGCAGTGGCACGATCTTGGCTCAGTGCAACCTCCACCTCCCAGTTCAAGCAGTTCTCTGCCTCAGCCTCCCAAGTAGCTAGAATTACAGGCACACACCACCATGCCTGGCTAACGTTTGCATTTTTAGTAGAGACGGGGTTTCACCATCTTGGCCAGGCTGATCTTGAACTCCTGACCTCGTGGTCCACCTGCCTCAGCCTCCCAAAGTGCTGGGATTACAGGCATGAGCCACCATGCCCAGCCAACCCAAAGCATTTTAAAAACCTTTTTAAAAAACCAAAATCCAGTCAAGGATCCCATGCTGAATTGGTTTTGCCTCTTCAGTCTCTTAACCTAGCAACTCTTTCTTTTTCACTTGTCACGTTCTTTTTTGAGATGGTAACAGTTGTCTTATAGAAGTCCCATATTCTGAATGTGTTCAAGTGTCACTTAATTTGTTCTTTTCTGCTTTGTATTTCCTTTAACTTGAATCTAATTGAGCCTTTAGATCCAGTTTCCATTTTAAACATTATCTCTTAAACATTATTGACAAGCACTGTCATATAATTTATAAAGCATTACCTCACACAGTGTCATTAATAGTGGGACAATCAGATAGCGAGTTACCTAGTGATAATAGCCATATTTCTCCATGGTAAAGGGTAATTTTTTCCTCGATTTGCTGTTAACAAGTCATAGCAAATTACTTGTTATTGTTTTAAGGGTAATACTTTGGTGCTGTTTGAATATCTGGTTCTCTGTCAACTGTTCAACTAACAGTTTTAGCATTCGTTATTGATCCTTGCGCGGATCAATTATTTAATGTCTTGCAAACATATTTTCTATTTCCATCATTATTTCTACATTTATTGTCTTGCATCCTTTTGTACATAAAAGCCTTATTTTAATAACAGGAGCTATTTATTTTTCCTGACAACATGTGTTATAAAAGCAGAATAAACCCTAATTTGGTCCCCTTTAATTCCTTACTCCGAAATGGTGTAATCAGTGTAATGCTATTACCAATACAAACTGTCTATATTGGGTTTCATTAATGAGGTCTCAAAATTCTGTGCAAGGAAGCTTGGTTATCAGGAAAACTGAATGCTATATCTTCTCATACACAATAAATTCAGCTCTGTGTCTGCATCTTCTTACCTTTTATTATTGCTGCAGAGATGTCGAGACCAGCCCTGGTCATCCATACGTTACTAGCACCAGTAGATTCAGATCTCTGGTAGCACAAACCCTAGGAACAAAACCCACCATCAAGAGCTGGTATTTACACCAAAATTAGATTGTGCATCTCATAGGGCACTCAGAATGCATTCAAAAGGGCCATCATCCCTTTCCTTTGTAAGCCATTTGTTTCACAAACCTCTGATCAGGAGACCCTCAAAGTTTCGCTGTACTGTTACATTGCTTTCTCATGCTGAAATAAGCCATTTTGCTCCCCTAAGTGCTTCTGTCTGAAAAGAAATAATGGATTTTTTAAAGCTAAGTGAGACTTCCGGGTTCTGTTTGGATTTTCATGAGTGATCATGTGGGGGCTGGCCATTCGTTATCCTCAAGTGCACTTTTGGCTGTCTCCTTCACTCCCTATATGCAGTCACAGGTATCTGCTATATGTAGTAACAGCTTTTTGCCAAGCTCTCTTTCAAATACTGAGGGCTAGTCAGGGTTCCTAGCCTCATCTGTATGGCCCTGGGCTTTTCTCTGCAGCTGCCACTTCTTAGTAGCTGTTCCTCAACTACAAACACCACAGCAGAGGTTGAGAATCAGAAAGAAAAAGCTCACATGGCTACTCACTGATTAACAGAGTCTTTCTCCAATAAAACTAATAATAATTAGCCCAAATCCCTAACATCCCAATGATCATCACGAATAAATCTCTCTCCTAATGGAGACAACATAGAATGAGCCATATATGCCAAAAACATCTAGACTAAAGGATGTACAAAACAAAGTTGTGAGAAGGTCTGTCTGGCCATTGGCTTAATCACTCCCAGATCCATTCCTTATCTTACCCCTGTCTGTTCCATGTTAACAGGGGATATCCTCTGCAAACTACAATTCCCAGTTTATTAATTTTCTATTGCTGTATAACAAATTACTGCAAACTTTGCAGCATAACATAACTCCCATTTATAGGTAACTCCCTATCTCATAGGTCTACACTTCAGAAATCTGGGCTAATTTGGCTGGTTCTCTGCATCAAAAGCTCAGGTCAGGGTGTCAGCTGGACTCTTAATTTGAGGTTCTAGAGAAGAATCCACTTTCTAGTTCATTCTGGTTATTGGCAGAATCTCATTCCTTGCAGCTATAGGACTCAGGTTGCTTTTCCTGGCTGTCAGTGGAAGAAAAGCCTTGGTCAGTCTTTGACTGGGAGAGGCAGGATGGGTTGAAGAGTAGATGGTGATGAAACTAATTGCTGGGGGCTGTTAGCTAATACTCCTCCTCCAGGCTGGGCAGTAAGTCCTTTTGCATAGGAATATCTGAGCCAGGGGTTGGTAACTGTATATAGCCTGCTGCCTCTTTTGGTATGGCTCCACAATCTAAAAGCAGATTTTTACATCTTTAATAGTTACACTTTATTTTTATTTTTATTTATTTTTTGAGACAGGGTCTTACTTTGTCACCCAGGCTGGAAATACAGTAGCAATATCATGACTCACTGCAGCCTCAACCTCCTGGGCTGAAGTGATCCTCCTGCCTCAGCCTCTGAGTAGCTGGGACTATAAATGCAAGCTACTTTTTTTTTAGAGAGAGAGAGAGGGAGAGAGAGAGAGAGAGAGAGAGAGAGAGAGAGAGAGAGAGAGAGAGAGAGATGGTGTTTCACAATGTTGCTCAGTCTAGTCTCAAACTCCTGAGCTCAAGAACTCCTCCCACCTCAGCCTCCCAAAGTACTTGGATTACAGGCATGAGCTACTGTGTGCTGCCAATAGTTCCATTTTAAGTGGTTTTATTAGCACCTACGTAATGTCTTGATTTTGCTGCTTAGCTCTCACAGGCTGAAATATTTACTGTCTGGTCTTCTACAGAGAATAATTGGTGGGCCCCTGAATTTTATGCTGGGTATCTTTGTGTCTGCTCAACCCTGCCAGGTCAGAATAGAGGGCTTGGTGAGGGGGACCCTGATACTGTAATTGAGGAAGGGGGAAAATGGGAGACACATCGAGTAGAAAAAAAAACAAAACCCAGAAGCATGATAGCAGGGGATGCATAAAAAGTGAGACTGTCATTTAAAATTTCCTGGAATGAAGTATAATTTTTTTAGGTCTCTGCTAATTTGTTGTAATAAAAATATTCTTGTTTTAATTTGCATAGCATTTGGTTACTAATAAAGTTGGAGTTGGATCTCTTTTCATGTGTTAAAGAATTGCAAATGACAGCCACAAATAAAATGAACAGATTTCTGAACCAAGCATAGAAACAAAATAGTTAATATCTATATACCTAAAATAATCAACAAAATGGAAAACACGAAGGTTCCAACCAAAAAATGAACAAATGTTTATGCTTTTAAATTTGTTAATATTTGAAAACAGAAACAAATTTTGAAGCATAGCTTCTGAGCCCACACTTCACGGTTGAGCATTCTGAGATAGCTAGGGTGGATTTCTAGTACTTGCTACCAGTTCACTTCTCTACTGATTTGGCTAAACTGAATAGCTTTATTTCCAAAGAATATTTATGTTAACAAAGAAGCAGAAAAAAAATTTCCAAAGGAAAAATGGAGTCAAGAATATCAAGTTTTGTATTTGCAACAACATAATTTTCTCTCAAATAAATTGTGGAAAGAAAGTATATTGGCTGGGCATGGTGGCTCACGCCTGTAATCCTAGCACTTTGGGAGGCTGAGATGGGTGGATCGCCTGAGGTCAGGAGTTCACGACAAGCCTGGCCATCATGGTGAAACCCCATCTTTGAAAGAAAAAAAAAAAGACAGTTTATTAGAGCAGTGCTAGAAAATCAAAATGGCACCAAGAAAAACCTATGTGTGAATGCAATCAGTGCTTGTTCGAATAAAATCCCCTTTTGTGCATGAATTGTGATCTTTAAATACCATTCTCCATTAAAAGGAATTTCTTTTGAGAAATAGTTGATTTTAGGTCCACATCGGGATATTTACAAAATGAGTAACACATATTTTTCTGTCAGAAAGGGAGGAAATAAACTCTGAAAAGGTCATTTCAAAAGTATGCAGGACCTAAACTGAAAAGGCTTCTTCTGGCAAAGTTGTGACAATTCAAGCCAAAAGGAACAATATCAGTGTTTGAAACATAAATATATAAAAACTCAGGAGTTCATAATGATGCTAAGGGATCACCTCATTAGTTGCCATCTGAGTTGGCTAGGGCACCAACTCTACTCTCAATTTTTTTTTCTTAATATAGAGTCCCCCTCTGTTGCCTAGAATGGAGTGCAGTAGCTCAGCCCACTGCAACCTCTTTCTTCTGGGTTCAAGCAATTCTCCTGTCTCAGCCTCAGTAGTTGAGATTATAGGCACAGGCCACCATGCCCAGCTAACTTTTGTATTTTTAGTAGAGATGGGATTTCACCATGTTAGCCAGGCTGGTCTTGAACTCCTGATCTCAGATGATCCACCTGCCTTGGCCTCCCAAAGTGCTGGGTTTACAGGCATGAGCCACTGTGCCTGGCCTACTCTAAAAGTAAGTGAACGAAAAGAATCAAGATTTTACCTTTCCAAAATAAGCTGTGTTTCCATTTATCCAAAAGACTTGAGGTCATGTACTTCACAGAATTCCAGCTAACAAATGCTGAAGAAATGATGGACTTAGAAAATCACTGTTTTTCAATCTCAGTGAGATATTATGGATCTTGGATAATCAATGGTTGACAAATATTATAACGGAGGGATCCGGCTGCCACTTCCTCATACACTGATCAATTTTAGCATCACTCAAGTTAGATAGGCCTTGATGTTGTATTTCAAGACACAACGCCATAGGAACTATAAAACTCCACTTAATAAAATTGAACATGCTTTCAGCTCTAACAACAAGTTTATAGGAAATATGAGGAATAGAGGAACTACTTTTTAAAACCATCATGAGAACTCAATCAGCCAAATTCAAATATGGAATACTCTGTGGTAGGAAGGACTGGTTTCTCCAACAAATCAACTGTATTAAAAAACAGCAGAAGGATATAGAATAAAATACATAGCAGATATAATAATCAAATGAAATATTTAGGCCATATTTGAATCCTAATTTTTTTTTGTCTTTTTTTTTTTTTCCTTTTTGTGAAGAACGGGGTCCCGCTGTATTGCCCAAGCAGGTCTTGAACTCCTGGGCTCAAGCTAACCTCCAGCCTCTGCCTCCCTAAGAGCTGGGATTACAGGCATGAGCCAGCAAGCCTGGCTGGATCCTAATTTGAACAAACCAGCTGCAAAAAGCACTTGAGACCATCACAAAATCTTAACATAGGCCGGGTGTCACATGAAATGAAGAAACCACTGCACCTTTTGTTTTGTAGCATCATGCCATGGAGGTTGCATGGGGAGAAAAACGTCTTTATCAGTTAGCTCCAGCGGGGCTAAACTTCCCTCAAGACCAATGAGGCCTCTTTAGAACACAAAATAAATCACATGGGTTCTAAAACAGACTGGTTCTATCTGAAGCAGCAACTTCTTTCCTTTCATGCAACAGTATAAGTGACAGGCAAAGTGGGGAGTGAAGATTGTGATGCAAAAATTGTGGTGATGACTATGTGATTTTTGCCAGCCCATCATTTGAGGTGATCAGGGTAAACTTCCTTACATGGAAGGAGAAAGTCTAAGAAATATATGAGGACTTTAGGGAAAAACCTCTATGTCCATACAGTGAAGACCTTCAATGACGTAGTGATTCTTGAAGCCATTAAATCAGCCACTAAATGTTCTGTTATATTAAACTATCTGGTGAAACTGTGAGTGGAGTTGAAGAAGCTTTGAAGAGACATCTGTCTGTATTAAAACCCTAGATCAGAATTCTAATGTTGATGCCTATGTACTCTATTGGCAGTGAATGCCCCACGGACCTAGAAGAAGGCTGAGCTCCAGGACATAAGACTGCAAAGGGCTGTCTGTGATCCTAAAGGCACATAGTTATAGAGATGCGGCCATGCTAGTATTTCTATTTGTATCACACTCCTGGGTTTTATTTCCTCATTCTGACACCAACCCCTATTTTTCCATAAGCCCTATTATTTAAGTATATTGCTAACTAAAAAGTGTTTTTTTAAGGAATGCATATGATGCCATAGCAAAGACAACTGTATACCAAAGTTAAAATTTTGACTTCTTACTAGAAGCCTAACATTGACAAACCACTAAATTTCTCTGGATTACCTAACTGGCTTTCTAAAATTTGACAAATGAGACTGTCACCTCATTTAAAGGATTGCTAAAGTTGTATACATAGAGCACCTAGTATGTCTGGCACATGGGAGGACTGAGTAAATAGTAGCTATTATTATTTGAGGATAAGTGTTGGTCATCAGCCTGCTGCTGAGCTAGGGAGCTCCATGGTAACCAAGCCGAGCAGTCTGCAGACATTTTGTCATGAACACTCAGCGATTTATCCTGCTCTCTCTTCACCTCCTCTGCCAGACCACATCAACACACTAGTCTTTCATTGTTCCCTCCTCTGGTCTGTAGATTACACCCTAAATGGAGCCATCCCTGAAACTTCATCCTGGTTGTTATGGACAAACTGAGCCAAGTTGAGAAAACTGTAAGTTCCTGCTTCTCGCAGTGGTAATGCAGGTTAACACACGATATCCTCAGAAGCAGTCCTGGCAGCCCGCCAGTGACTTTTCCAGACATCCCATTGGCAGTTTGATAAACCAGGGCCTGGCATGTCTCCTCAGAGGAACTCCTACTTCAGAGTCCAGTGACTAGGGCCTCAGGGTCAGTCCTATGACCCCAGTGCCCTCCTCAGTGCTTCTGGCTGCAGAAGCTTGGTCAAAGGGAACCCCAGAGGGAATCCTACCCATAGCAGACACTTCTGCTAGTGAAAAGGGATACAAAAGGAACCTGGTGAGAAACTCCACGAGCCGTTTAGTTCCTCTCCAATATGGCTGCCCCCATATACATTTAGTCAGACATGAGGAGAGTTTTAAAACACAGCACTGAATGAAAGCAGAGCCCTGGATCTGGCTCTCCTCATGGGAACTCTCCTGAGGCTCAAGGCAAACTGCGGGGACCCAGGGCCTGGGGGCTTCCCGGGTGAGACTCCTCAGATTCCTACCCAGTCTTTCCTCCCTGGTTGCCTGGGAACTGACCAGCCTGCTTATGGCCACTTTCCTTTCCACTCAGCTTCTCCTGACTGAGGGCATCCCCCAGACTGCATCCAGTACCAGATCCCAAGGAGATTCCTTTACTGTGTCAAGGTGTGATTTAGAAAAGGGAAATGGAGAAACAGAGAAGTCGGTGAAGAAAGTAGGAGAAAGAAAATAAATGGAGAATGAAGCTAATTCCTCCAGAATTACCCTGTCAGAAGAAAGATCAAGAACTTATTCTTGCCTGGGGTGTCACATGTGGACATCACCATCGAGTTTCCTGATTCAGAAAATTATCTAAATGGGTTGGGCGCAGTGGCTTATGCCTGTAATCCCAGAACTTTGGGAGGCAGAGACAGGCAGATCACCTGAGGTCTGGAGTTTGAGACCAGCCTGACCAACATGGTGAAACCCCATCTCTACAAAAAATACAAAAATTAGCTGGGTGTGGTGGCAGCACCTGTAATCCCCGCTACTCAGGAGGCTGAAGCAGGAGAATCACTTGAACCCAGGAGGCGGAGGTTGCAATGAACCGAGATTGCACCATTGCACTCCAGCCTGGGTGACAAGAGTGAAACTCCGTCTCAAAAAAACCCAAAAATTACCTAAATTTACTTAGGAAAGAATTGAAGGATTATATCCTGAAAGGATTCACTGTTTTGTTGTGAAAATTTGGCCCTTAAGGGCTTTTGTTTCCTGTAAAAATGCATGAGCTATAAGAGTAAAAACTTTAGAGAGCAACTGACCGATCTTTAGAGTTATTTAGGTTTTAATAAGCTTGCCTCACTCCATATCTAGTTTTCCAAGGGCAGTCAACAGGCAGACAGATCTTTACTTGTTCTCAGAAAGTCCTTCCAGACTTGCATCCTCAGAGAGAGTGTCTTGCTTACAAGCAGTCTGAGAACAAGTTCCTACATGTTCTAGAAAGGAAGGCTCTGAAAACATAGAAGCAGACTGTTTTCAAAAAAGGGGGACGAAAAACATGCCCAGTTGATTAGTCCTAAGTAGAAAAAAGAATGTGCAATGCATCATAACTTGAGGGGTGGAAGGCAGTTGTGAGATGGAGAAGATAACTCTGAATGATGATTACTGTGTATATACTTTGTGGAAGGAGAATACAGAAAATGTTAGAGCTGCATCATTTAAAAATTCATTGGTGTTTCACCACTGTTCTTGACAAAATAAAATGTCAAAATTCACACAGCAGTTTAGAAAACTAGATGAAACACAGGCAGAGAGAAGTCGTGCGTGACTCGTTCTATCCTGAATGTCTAGAGCCCTGTGGGTGTTTTAAGGAGACCTTTACAAAAAGTAAACCTTAAACGAACTACCACCAACTTACTAGGCTCTTCTTTCAGAAAAAAAATAAAGGGGATTGCATAAACGATTATTGCTTAGAGATTTGGAAGAATTCCAAGAACATTCATATTCCTAAAATTAAAGCCATCCCAATTTAAAAGTTTTATGAAAAGCTTAACTGGGGTTGTTTCTAAATTAAATCCAAGAAAATTCTCGAGTTGAATTTGTCATTTAGAATTGCCTAAAATAAAGGAACAGTGTGAAAAACATATATTAGGAATACTGCCAGACTTAAGTTTTCACTTCTATCAAAAGAATTATACTTAAGGAAAGAGTCTTTGCTTCTTTATGCATGAAGAATATGTTCTGAAAATATAGATATCAACTCTCCAAGCAAGCTTTAAAATTGCTCTTTTGTGAGATCTTATGGTTTGTGGTGTAAGTACAAATACATTAGAGGTGTATATTAATTATTGATAGATGCCTTAAAAATTACCCCAAAATTTAAGAGCTTAAAACAACATTTATTACCTCACACAGTTTCTAGGGTCAGGAATCCAGGAGTGGCTTAGTTGGGTGGTTCTGACTCATGGGATTATCATCCAGCTGTCACCTAGGGCTGAAGTCTTCTGAGGCTTGACTGGGGCTAGAGAATCTGCTCCCAAAAGCGTATTCACGTGATTGGCGACAGGCCTCAGGCCCTCATCACCTGAGATTCTCATTGCGTGCTGGTTGGCTTCCCTTTGAGTGAGTGATGAGAGATGGTAGCCACAATGTCTTTTATAACCTAATCTTGGAAGCGACATATCATTACTTCTGCCATATTTTGTCATACAGATAAATTATGGCACAATGCGGGAGGGGAATTATACAAGGGTATGAATTCCAGGAGGAGACAATCTTGGGGGCTGGCTACCATAGTCTACCTTCTGGGTTCCAATGAATCAAGTCCTTCCAACATATAAAACACGTTCACTCCATCCCAACACTTTTAAATTTCTTGTCACATTACAGCATCAACTCAAAGTCTAGAGTCTTGTCATTTAAATCAGGACCGGGTACATATGAGGTTCCTTATATATAAGTTCTTTTTTTTTTTTTTAGAGAAACATTGTGTTTAATAGTAAAGCTTAGCACGCCCCAGCACCAGGAATGGTATGAAGTCAAGGTAGCAGGATCTTATGTATAATTTCTTAACTATAGCTCCTTGGGTATAGATTCTCTCAATCTGAAACTAACATGCACACGCATATACACACATACACACACATACCCCAAATGCACAGTGGTGGAACAAAAATGCATGGAGCAAAAACACCACATGCATTAATATTCAAAAAGGAAGGGTACTAGACGTATTACTATGTCCCATAGCAGTTCTGAAATCCAGCCAGGCAAATGATGGAAGTGCCTTAGGATTTAGTCCCATTTCTATGCATAAGTTACTCTTTGAGGCTCTTGGCTTCCCCCTCTGAGTCATCTTGTGTGTGTGTGTGGCGGGGGGGGGGGGGGGGGGGGGGTTCTTTTTTCTCACCACATTCCAGCCCTTTTTTTTTTTTTTTTTAAGAGACAGTGTTGCGCTTTGTTGCACAGGCCGATTCAAACTCCTGGGCTCAAGTGGTCTTCCCACCTTGTCCTCCCAAAGTGCTGGGATTATAGGAGTGAGTCACCAAGCATGGCTATTCTTTCTTTTTCATCAAAGGCCGGGCGCGGTGGCTCAAGCCTGTAATCCCAGCACTTTGGGAGGCCGAGGCGGGTGGATCACGAGGTCAACAGATCGAGACCATCTTGGTCAACATGGTGAAACCCCGTCTCTACTAAAATTACAAAAAATTAGCTGGGCACAATGGTGCGTGCCTGTAATCCCAGCTGCTCGGGAGGCTGAGGCAGGAGAATTGCCTGAACCCAGGAGGTGGAGATTGCGGTGAGCCGAGATCGCGCCATTGCACTCCAGCCTGGGTAGCAAGAGCGAAACTCCGTCTCAAAAAAAAAAAAAAAAAAAAAAGAAAGAAAGAAAGTTAGTGCATGTATGTAGCTGAAAATTTTTCTTAACCTGCAGTAACATAGGGGCCAAGTGAGTACAAAGGCCTCTTTTCATTTTATACTCTCTGTCCCCTTGAGTTCTAGTTGGCAATACAATTCTTTTAAAAAATTTGTGAATCTCCTATGAATTTTTTGGGGTCCATTCCATTAGACAAAAGTCACACCCAAAAATCTCTTTGATATAATCCCTTTCCCACCTTGTAATTTGCTGAAAAGCTATGCTCTTAAGCTTCTTAGGAGCCCTGTTTTTGAAAGCATCTATGAGTCACAGCCTTAAAAACTTTCAAGGGCCTTTGTGTAACTAAACTGGCACTCTGAGGCACCACTTTGGATCTTTCTGTGGTCATAACAAAGGATATATAATCACACCTCAGCTTCATCTTTGGATTATATTTCCATGATGGTGCCCGGGATTTGACCTCTGTCCTTCAGCCATTTCTTAGTTTTAGCATTTTTCACCATCTGTAAAAGCTGAGACTCCTTATGAATAGCAAATTAGACCACCCTACCAGGTACATTTTCACCTCCCACATTATTGCAGACAGCAATACTGCTATGATTTATGCCACTCCATAGCAAGGATTCCCTGTCCTGTTTTCAACAAGATTTTTCTCACTTTCTTTTAAACCCCCACCAGCAGCCTGGTTAAAGTCCACATTTCTTTTTCTTTTTTTTTTTTAACCCCTGCTGGCAGGAAAAAGTCCAAATTTTTCCCAACATTTTGTTCAAGGCTCAAGAGGCTTTCCCTACTATACTTCTTAAATTCTTTCTGGCTACCTCCACTGTAGTTTCCTAGCCATGCCTACATTTTAGGTATTTATGATGGTAGCACCTTACTTCCAGGTACTAAAATATATATTAGAATAACAGATTATCCCCTAACTTAGTAGCTTAAAAAAACAAACTCCTTAATTCAGGGAGATGTAGAAAAATAATTTTTTTAAAAAACCTCTTTTTTAATTTTTTTAAATCTCATACAGTTTTTGAGGACCAAGAATCCAGGCAGAGCTTAGCTGGGTTGTTCGAGCTGAGGGTCTCTCAGGAGGTTGCCATCAAGCTGTCAGCCAGGGCTGCAGTCTTCTGAAGGCTTGACTGGAGCTGCGGGCTTCACTTCCAGTATCACTCGCATGACTGCTGTCACGTGGGTCTCTCCATAGGACTGCTCATTACGTGGCAACTGGCTGTCCCCAGAATGAGTGCACATGAGAGACAGAGAGACCTAATGTCTAATGACATATTGTGTTTCTAGTGCCACAGAAACTAACTCTGGAACCACAAGAGAGGGTGGGAATACCTGAATTGGAATTATCAGTGGGTAATTGTGGAGGCTATCACAGAGTATAATCCTAAAAAGCACTCCTTTTCTCTCCCTTTCCAGAACAAACGGAAAAGTAGATGCAATGCAAGATTCAAGCAAAGAGATCAAAATATTAACTTGATTATTGATAGAAGCTAATTTGGAGAAGGCAACTTAGACATGTGGCTACAATGAGCTTCAATACTTGACCTCCAAATTAGATTTACCTACCCAGTTATAGAAAGAACAGGACTTCTCCTTTATCAGATTAGCTTATCATATATCCAGCAAAACACAAAGCACCTCTTCTGTGTTTATTTTCTGTATTTTTGTGGGGTTTTCTTTTGCACAGGTGCCTGCCCCTTGTGTAATACATCTAACAAAATCTCTCCTGCCTTCTTAATCAGATCCCAGAAAGTCTAACAGTAAATGTTGGTATGCTGATTGCTGGGCCTGGAGAATTTCCATTCCTTTGTAAATTTCCAGATAATCTTGACACAGCTGGTCTGAGAAGCACTGCCCAGGTACCTATGATGCACTGATGCTTATGGGCGTCTCATTTTCATTCCCAATCTCATTAGTGGCCATAAAAATGTAAGACACGTTTCACTAACCCTTCCCCTGCACTTGACAAACAAGGAGAACAAGGCTCAGAAGTGAGGCTGGTGGGCCAAGCTTACATCCTGCTAGGCATGCAAAGCCAGTCTTCAAACCCAGGTCCAACTCCAAAGCCTGTGGTTTTCCCTCTCCACCAGGTTGCCACCAATTACTAAGGACTGAACATCAGTGCATAGTCTGAGTCTTAACAGTAATCTCCTAGAATTGTTTTCTATTAATTCCATTTTGCATCTTGTTTTTTATATTTTTTAAAACTAGAACATTTATTTGCATGACTAATTGTTGACGTTCTGAAGATAAACTGAATGCCACAACAGCTACCTTCTTGGGTTTAGGTGTTGTTCCTTCCACAATTCATGCCTGAATCTGAGGTGTACAGTGTTTTTTTTTTTTTTTTTTGAGACAGAGTCTTGCTCTGTCACCCAGGCTGGAGGGCATTGGCACGAGCTTGGCTCACTGTAACCTCCACTTCCCAGGTTCAAACAATTCTCGTGCCTCAGCCTCCTGAGGAGCTGGGATTACAGGTGCCTGCCACCATGCCTGACTAAATTTTTTTTGTATTTTTAGTAGAGATGGGGTTTCACCATGGTGGCCAGGTTAGTCTCAAACTCCTGACTTCAGATGATCCACTGTCTCGGCCTCCCAAAGTGCTGGGATTACAGACATGAGCCACTATATCTGGCCACGGCATATAATCTTTAAGTACCTCATTTGATCAATACCAGTGGCATTTCATCTTTTGGCCATGGCACTCTAGTTATACCTTCTCTTGTGCTTGGCAGGGCAGCTGCATTTGCTAGAGATCACCTCTGAAGTTGGTAGGCCTTGGCACCACAGCAGCAGCACATTTACTTCTTATTGTGACACTTTTCAAATGATGACTATTTGTTCATCGTCTTGTGTCTGTGGCCGAGACCAGACATTTCTCATCTTCTTGACCTGTAGACTCAAGCACAATTTGCTCCATTTTCATGGAGCAAATTTGTCAAACATAATTGTTCACTATGCACAATATATTCAACTGGGTAATGTCTGTGCATGTTAAAAGTAGGTAAATGTTTACCTTAAGGGGCAAGATTACAACTTTCAATTTATAATGTGCTACCATTCCAGAAGTTCCATAAAAGAAGTTAGAAAATGCCCAGCACAACAGATGCCTGGCTGCTTTCCCTCCAGGTTTAGTCTCCACCTTCTCCATCTTCCTACGTACCACAAGGTGGACCTCCGTGACCTCTATCAACAGACTTCCTTGCCTTCTAGACTCCCATCCTCTTTCTCCTCTACAATAGTGAACAGAGGGAGGAAGATTTCCCCAACTCCCTTCAGGTAGGGTCACCTTGGACTGACTGCATTTTCCACAGAGTCCTTTGAAGGCAGCTGCTCTGAGGGATTTTTTTTTTTTTTTGAGATGGAGTTTCGCTCGTTACCCAGGCTGGAGTGCAATGGCGCAATCTCCGCTCACCGCAACCTCCGCCTCCTGGGCAATTCTCCTGCCTGAGCCTCCTGAACAGCTGAGATTACAGGCACATGCCACCATGCCCAGCTAATTTTTGTATTTTTAGTAGAGACATGGTTTCACCATGTTGGCCAGGCTGGTCTCACACTCCTGGCCTCAGGTGATCCACCGGCCTCGGCCTCCAGAGGTGCTGGGATTATAGGCGTGAGTCACCGCCCCAGCCATGAGTGATTTTTTTTTTTTTTTTAGAGCTTTCAGGAACTCCTCCCTCCCCTCTCCCTTCAGGCTCAGGGGCAGTAACAGCTCTTAAAGTCCTGCACTGTCCCTGTGGTTTTCCTCACCCTACCCATACCATTCTAAACAACCCCTTTATTAGTACCTCCTTGAAGATTCCTAACTTGAGTGTCCTACTTCCTTTGGGGCCCTGAGTGAATACCTATTTAATTACAGTTTATAGAACTAAGAGAGTTGGCTTTCTTAGAGCTAGCCCAGGTGCCTTAGCTTCAGGTCCATGTCATCTTCCTAGAAGTCAGTAACTTCCTTAAGGTCCATGTCATCTTCCTAGAAGTCAGTAACTTCCACATGGTCATTACTTTAAAGGTATGAAAAACCACCTTCCGGGCCTCACATGTGCTTTGTAGGTAGAACATATGACAAGAGGCAACTTGGAAGGTTCTGCAGGCAAAATTCTTATCAAAAATTGCTGCTAAATTTTAAAACTCTCTAATTTTCTACCTTATATTAGGCATTTATTCTAGCAAGAGGTAAATTATCCCTGGAAGAAGGAGAGAAAGTTGTCATTCAAAGACATTAGTGTTAAATGAGTTTCAGATGTTTCTATTTTGGCTGCTGGCTGCAAGCCTGGTTTGAGAAAGAGGAAGATAAAATTCATCTAGATTCTAGAATAATGGTTCTCAAAGTGTGTGGGAAAGATGGTTTTCTCCGTCCTCTGGAAGGCGTTTTGGAAATTGTGGGGAGTCTTTGTGAGCCAAGGGTCAAGGATGCTAGTCTGCCTGTGGTAAAGGGATGGCTCCACACAACAGGGATTAACCCTGTGAGAACTGTAACGTTCTAAGAACATTCATGTTGCTGAGAAACATGTTTATAATTACCCAGGCAAAGGGCTTATGTTTTCTTTTATGGAAAGAAAGAAGGAAGAAGGGAAATATGGAAAGGAGAAAAGAAGAAAGGGGAGGAAGGAGAAATGGAGGGGGGAAGGAGGGAGGAACTGAGGGAGGGAGGAACAGAAGGAGGGAGGGAAAGAAGAGAAGGAAAGAAAAGGAAGAAGGGAAGGTAGAAGAGAAGGAAGGGAGAAAAAAAGAAAGGAAGGAAGAAAGGGAAGAAAGAAAGAAAGAAAGAAAGAAGAAAGAAAAGAAAGAAAGAAAGAAAGAAAGACTTTAGCACTCACTGAAATTTCCAGGAATGCAATGGCCATATAAACTGAGGGACATCATACATTGTTTTGTTTGAATTTTACCAAGCTGGTTACAGGTAGAGAAAAACAACACAACTTTCAGTCTGCATTTGTAGCTGTAGCATTCAAAGTGAGTCTACAAACATATTCAAGTGCTATAACCTCATCATATCTTAATCTAGTGAGGTTGTATTCTACTATCCATACTGAAATTTATAAAGAAAATCTCCCTGCACAAGATTTTTAACAAATTAATATAATACACTAATGGAAATCTAATAGATACATACAAAGAAAGTAGTTACAATGATTTCATTTCCAGATCGTCAAAGGTGTATATAGCAAAGTACCCAGCAGAGAAATGGGCATTGAATTTGATGAGATTTGGGACCCACAGATCTAAAGTGATGTGTTCTGATGGCTGAAGGTACCACTGGGGAGGAGGTCCACTGCAGGGAAATCCCTCCTGGGGGAGAATCCACATGAAAAAAGCTATGTGGAAATGAGAAGGAAGTGATGACAATAAGGCCTAGTGTGTGGCAGAGGCCTTCTAGTGTGTGTAAGTCCTCAGAGTGGGCCCTATTCCTTGTTAACAATTAAAAAAAAAGATTCCTGACTTCTTTCAAGACCCTGTGACGTTGGTTTATCTCTAGTATCATCTGTCATGGAGTGGATGTTCAATGAATGTCAAAGAAAGTCATTCAACAACACTGTCCTTGAATAGATTAAAGACACCACCACTCATTACTGGAAACACTGATCAAAGACGCAACCACGATTTGGAGCTTCTTTACAAAGAGATCCTGCAATATTTTTTATCACATATGGTAACTTTGGTGGGTATAATTTCCTATATAACTTCAAATCTAAAATGTAGTGTTCGCAGCCAGGTGAAAGGTCATTTGGCCAAATTAAAGCCCTCAGGGCCCCAAATATATCAGGAGCTGACTTGTTTTGTTATGCTCATTATGTTTCACTTCTTCACAAGTTAGGAAACGTCTTGGGTATTTTTTAATGTCCTGTTTGCAATGACAGAGATTAATAAGTCATCTGGAAACAGAGCTTCTTTATTAAGAACAAAAACTCAATGAAAGCTGAACCCCAAGACCCCACTCCCTTCACCTGACATGTTCCTGCTCATGCTTTAGATCTCAAGCCCTTCCATGACCCCCAAGTCTGGGTTATGGTTCCTTCCTCTGGCTTTCCCAGGATCTGATACACTGACACAGTAGCTACAACAAGGGTAATTGCTTTGATTACTTATCTATGTCTCCCAGTAGACTCTTGAGGTCTCTCCATTGTTTCTCTTGAATTTGACACACAGATGTCAGTGCTTAGTCATTCAACAAGTTACACATTTGCATAGTACGAATGGCAATATTGGCTTCCACACTGTTCCACGGAGCAACCAAGGATAGGTGTGCCTTCCCACGTGGTTCCCACTGAACACCATCTAACACAACTTCTATGCTTTCTACATTTTCTCCTCCAGCCCCAAAGCTCCTCTGCTTCATCTATTAGCTTTTATCTCCAATCAAGTTGGGACTA